TTAAAATATACTTTTCACTTTTTTGGTCTTTTGGAAAATGTTGTTTGTGCTGTATTTAGACCCCTCTAACAAGAAATTTGTTTTGCATGCACACGTATAAAAATTGCGGTTTTTATCCAACGCAATCATAGGTTTGAACGTTGTTTTCAATTTAGACTTGTTTATATTTTTTCGTTTGGGCTTGTATTATATTTGCCTTCGGGTTTATATGATCCGTTCATCCTATTTTGACTCCTCAAAATTCAAGAGTCTAACCTAAATTGAGGCAAATTGCATGCCTTTCCAAATACCGTTTCGATTCCTAACATCACTGAAGAGACATTAATTGTCGAAATCCGGATATGGTGTACAAAAACCTTTGCACTTTTTGTTTGCGGTATACCATCTTTTGCGCAAGTTTATTGTTTTCTGTTTAGTATTAAATTTATAATTAAGATCCATTTTTATATCGGTGATTCGTTTATTTGGCAATCGCCAATGACAGTCAGCAGGGTTTGAGAACATTTGTTGTTCGACCTGTTAGTCAAATGCGTTTTGTTAGAATATACTTTTTCACGTTTTTGGTCTTTTGGAAAATGTTGTTTGTACCTAGTGCCTATAGATAGCAACACATGACATACAGATCTATGGGAGTGTGGATTAATCAGTACAGAGATTAATACAATTACACAAATAAAATTATAGATTGCCTAACAATGTAATTTTGACACACTATTCAGTATGTAAATATTAGAATGTTTAAAATATTTACAAAACGATAAAAATAAACGCAATATTTGGCTAGACAAACTAGGTTTATCAAGCGTGCATATATCCAGGTGAAATCAGATGTAGATGATAAGAAACTTTTGCAGCTCAATGTACATGTTGCACATGAATTTAGCTGCCTTGTAAATAATACATAATTTGGATGAAGTTCAAGATTATTTACAACATTGGTAGTTCGAGTTTGCAACGTCCATTGGCCAATATTACAGGATAAAAAGGACGATGCTGTGTATTAAATTATTCTTTATCTTTCCTGTATCTCTTCTTGTCTTTTTCGTTAAGACCATCCGGTTCTAAAGTGTGGAGCTGGTGGATCCAAAAGTTTTCTCTTCTCCTTCTCGCCGTGGTGTCCCACTCGGTGTTGACTTCTATGATTTGGAAAGTAACATTATCAAAAGGATGTTTCTTTGAGCGAAGATGTCTTGTGAGAGGACAGTTTTTGTTGGTTTTGTACCATGAACGATGGTTATTGAGCCGCATATTGAATTTATCCATTGTTTCTCCCACATACTGAATGCCACAAGTGTTACATGTTAATATATAAATTGAGTTCTCCGTTTTACAGTTAGAATTTGAGTAGATGGTATAATTTTGTTTAGTAACGGAGCTGATGAAAGAACTGCTTGTATTGACAGCTTTACAACATAAACAATTCCTTCAACCACATTGTTTGTAGCAACCGGGAGGTGGAGTAGGCTGTTTTGCTAATACGGATGTCACTAATTTGTCACGGATGTTTTTATGTCTTCTAAAGGCCATGACTGGTGGTGAGGAAACTACTTTCTTTAGATTTGAGTCATTTTCTATAATTTTCCAATGCTTCAGAATAATGGATGACATATTTTTAAAATCAGGATGGTAAGTGAGTACAAGAGGTGTTCTGTTGACTTCTTTATTCTTATCCTTGTACTCTAGAAGTTCTTGGCGACTAGTTTTGTTTGCTCTTTCGAAAGCTGTATCAATGATGTTGTTATTGTACTCTCGAACAACTAGATGTTTACGTAGTTGTCCAAGTCTAGCATTTTGCTTATTTTCAGTAGAGCATATTCTCTTGATTCGCAATGCCTGGCTGAATGGGATACAACGGGAGCAGTGTATGAAGATGGTCTTGCGAATCTGTCCATTTAAAATCAATATCGTCAATGAATCGAAACCATGATAATGGCTGGTATGGAGCACTAGCCAAGAGGCGTTTTTCAAGTTGGCCCATAAATATGTTGGCATATGACGGGGCTATTTTTGTGCCCATACTAGTGCCGTCCATCTGGAGATAGTGTTTGTCATTGAAAGAGAAGTTGTTGTTCTCCAGCACTAGTTTCAGAAGTGTAACAAGGCACTCAGTTGGAGGATTTTTTTCACTACGAGTGTTCCATGCCTCTTCACACGCTGCTATTCCTTCTTCTTGTGGAATGTTGGTATATAAAAAGACACGTCCATGGATGCGAGTATAGTATTGTTTGGTAGAGGATTGAGGCTTTCCATTTTCTTTAGATAATCAGTCGTAGCCTGAATGTAAGAGGGTAGTTCTTTATCTTTAGCATGAGGTCTTAAGTGATGATCTACAAATTCGGATATCTTTTCAGTTGGGTGACTATTCGCTGAAACAATTGGTCGACCAGGATTGCCCGTTTTTTGTATTTTAGGCAACATATAGAATCTTCAAGCCTTTGCTTCGTTCTCAAGAGGTCGAAGATAATCAAAGGTGTCCTTATCGATATGCTTTTGGTCGTACATCTCTTGAAGGATGGTGTTGATCTTTCGAATGGTATTTAGTGTTGGATATGTGGTTAATTGTATATAAAAAATGGAGTTTGACAGTTGGCGATTCCCCTCTGCCATGTAATCTGTTTTATTCATGACAACCACAGCACCCCCTTTGTCAGCAAGTTTTATTACAATATCCTCTTGTTCTTTTAACGCTTTCAAAGCGATGCTTTCTGACTTGGATAAATTATAATTTCTTTTATTTGTTATACAGGACTTTATATCAGAACTCACGTAGTAAATAAATGACTCCCAAGTTATCGTTTTTACTTTTGGTGGTTTCCATGAACTTTTTTTCCTAAATTTTGGGATGGGCGTGACTTCTTCATTGGTCTCAGTATCTGAATCTGTTAATCCGGCTTCTTCAAGGTGTTTCTTGCCCCTATTGTAGAAAAAATCTTTCAAGCGTAAACGTCTAGCGAATTGGTCTAAGTCCTCGTCTAGCTGGAAGTTATTAACATTTGATGGGGTAGGACAGAAGTTAAAACCTTTACTTAAAAGACATTTTTCAGCACGTGTCAGTTCTTTAGATGACAAATTTACAAAAATGCGTTCAGGTTTTTGTTTCCATCTTTTAAATTTTCATTTTCTAGGGGCCTTATGGTTTGTTGTATTGATATCATTAATATGCTGATTTAAAGAAACAGTGTGAACTTTATCTCTTTGAAATTTATTCCTTTGTTTTTCTTTATGTTTGTATAGTTCAATTTTTTCAATATCTTCGAGGCGACGTTTTATTCTTGGTAAATCGTCACGTGAAATGTGACTACTGTTGATGATATCTAATATTTCATTTACAATTTGTTTGTAATTTGTGGTTGTAAAAGAAAGTAACAGTTGAAGAAGCTCAATTCAACAGAATTTCATTCCAACGGCTCATGAACCTTTTTGATGTATGTCCCGGTGCCTAGAGACTCACTTTGATGTTTAAACCTTTTGGTACAGATCTACTTTGAATGTAATGTTTTTAGTTTGATATATGATGTTCAGTTTGAAGTTTCTTTTTAGTTAAAGATCTAAATTTCTTAAAATGCAGTGCGCTATCCATGTTGTAAAGATAGCGATAAATTTGAATGGATTACACAAAGATTTGTGAAATGCGTGTTACTGAAGATATTAATATAAGTGCCTATAAATAGCAACACATGATATATATATATATATATATAATTATATAAAATGACTGAATAGTAGCCAACGATAAATCTTACGGGGCGATGGATCATATAAATATGATACAGTACACTACAAAATATAATATATAACCAGTCTAAAAGGGTACAACATCACCAAAAAATGACAATAAACGAACAAATGTAACTATAAATATTTCGGATAACAGATATCCTTCATCAGTATGAGCACGATGTAAAATGAATCAGATCAATCTATTCTGATTATTAAACTATAGCAATCTTGAATTCTATACAATAAAAAAAGTGAAACAGTTTCACCCGAACATCATATGTAGAGACGCTAATAAACTTTTAAAATTTTCAAAAAACGACTCAAAGACATGCCTAAAATGAAAATAGTAATTAGAGATATGAACTGGCACAACAACTGCGTGTAAATACATTCCCAAAAAAAAAAAAAACAGCACTGATCGATATAAGCTGGTAAAATATGTCGAACAGAGGCTTTTATCATCCCAAATAAATAGCAGTTTTATAATGAAAAGAAAAAAATAATAGTAAATTTGGGACAAGGTTAAAAAATTGGACGTGGATGCGTACTTGTACATCCCTACCAAATGAAAAGAACCCTGGTATTTAAACTAGTAAAATTCAAAAAATTCCAAAAGAATCCTTAAAACTGTAAGGGTCAAGTAAGGAAGTCGGAGTAACTGGAAACAAATGATGTCAGGAAAATGAGTGATGGTAGGGAAAATGAGTGACTCATTCTATGTTTTTTCATTAATGCCCTCTGGGGAAACTGTCCTTAGCTTTCCCCAGAGGGCATTAATGAAAAAACATAAAATGAAACATAGATCTTGTCTCAAATTTTGGAGTACATGAGTTATTATCAATTCCAGTTCAAATCGTGACTAGGACAAGAAACAAATAAAAATGTGTTGAGTCTTGAAAACTAACATGCTAAAAATATTGATTTAGTACAAAGCAGGCATCATATCATAAAATTATATGGCCATCATAAACATCAAAGATTTTTTAACTGAACTTATGACAACAATTCATCCAGCCTCGCATTAGACGTTAGAATACTATTTCTGTTATATTTTATTTTCTGGTAAAGTTGTACAGGCTACTTTGAAACTGTTTTAGGTATTGCTTTTAAACAGGGGTTTTGAAATTATCAGACAAATTGAATTGTCATTGTCAACGTCCAAGTTATTTTTTAGATTTTAAACTTTTTTAAGTGACATTATGTACAGAAGAAGCTTAGGTGACGTGTCCACCTTGCACCGAAGATGTTTTGGGTAATTTTTTGTTTCATTTTCTTTTAAGATAATCAAGAAGATTTGAACATATTGGAAAATGAATGGTACAAATCTAATCGAGCTATTGCCATTCATAAAGAAATATCCAAACGATACAAACCAAACCTGATTAAAAAAAAAAAACGAATCAAAGGATGGTGGATTTCTAGGTGTGCGTGTTGCGGTAAGCACACTTTGAAATGTAATTTTTGGTCTTTTTTTTAACTCGTCATCGAATGATGAGATAATCCGTTTCGAAAAACAATGTAATACAGATTTCTGTTTTCATGCAAATTGTTTCCAGAATGACGTTGACGAACTATACCATATCGTTAGAGTTATAAAGCAAACCAGAAAACATTATTGTGAACATAACAGCATAAATAACCTCACCAAAACACATTTAAAAAGAGAACAATTGACGGTTTTTCGATTCCAATTGCACATTTTTTAATTAGAAACTATTGACCTTCGGTACGCTGATTCAAAAAATCAATGATTCTATATACTTTTGCTAAAAAAAGAAAATACGGAGGTTCTTCCAGTTTACAAAATTTTACTTTTGGTTTCATCTGAACCTGACTTCACACTAATTCCAAATAGATGAAGTTTGGGAACTTTCATATGCAAAAGTGAAAAGAGTGTGTGAAAACAGCTAATCAATCCACCGATTCCAAGATATATTGTTTCTTTGTACTTGTACTCGAAATTAGGTAGATTATAAGCTACTGCCGGCCTAGAAATTTCTCTTCCGGTGTTCTTTGAAAAGATATTTTATACTGATTTAAAAAACAAATAGTTAGGGTCTTTTCTGTGTCACTTCTAGTTTCATGTTAAACATGTAAAAGGTAATTTTACACTGATGCAAAACGTATATGGTTTCTTTTTGACTTTTTTGCCATTTGTATAGGACTTACATCTAGAAATTGACAATGAGGGTCGGTTGAAAACAAAACTTTAAGACAAAAGAGATGATTTTAGCTTCCCAATGTGACCTTTTCATTTTTAAACCAAGAATTCCAATTCGTGAAGTTGAAATCGACACTTCATAAATTTTACGGACGCCATCACGAGTTGGTTGACCGTTATGGAATATCCGTTTCACAGATGATATCGAATATGTTCCTTATGTCGTAACTACAATCCCGTTCCCTTTTCGTAAATGTGACCTACAGATTTAGACTATTTGCCGGCTTTGTAATAACATGAGCAGCACGACGGGTGCCACATGTGTAGCAGGATCTGCTTACGCTTCCGGAGCACCTGAGATCACCCCAATGTTTTGTTGGGTTCGTTTTTCTGTTGTTCCCCTATTTGTGACATTTTTACCTATTGTGTCTTTTTGTTTTGTTCACGAATCGTTGTCAATATAGTGGTTGCAACTGTCATATAAGTGAGAGGTTTAACTAGCTATAAAACCAGGTTCAATCCAACATTTTTAACATAAGAAAATGCCTGTACCAAGTCAGGAATATTTCAGTTGTATTCCATTATTTTGATGTGTTTAAGTTTTTGATTTTGCCATTTGATAAGGGACTTTCCGTTTTGAATTATTCTCGGAGTTCAGTATTTTTGTGATTTTTCTTTTTTCTATGTACTTTCAGATGTTATAAAGAAGATAATCAGTTACTTCCTGTTTACAAAAGATCACATTCGCTTCAATGAAATAGCATCTCTACATTGATATAAAATTTGATTTCTATATATTTTTCTTTTAGTAAGGCAGATAATTATCCAATGCCGGTTTTAAAAATTTCCTTGTTGTTGCCATTTTATAATTTTTGGTATGCTGATGTCGAAAGTATATAATCTCGAGTTTTTTACCTTGAATAAGTGAAAAAAAATATTACTTCTGGTTTGAACAAGGTCACATCCGGTTAATTTTTGTCAAGGTGATATATCATCTTAGCCTTTGCAAAAGACCACAGGCCTTTATCATGTATCAATATGAAATTGTAATAAATTAACCTTAAATTTAATCATTTTAGGGGGCTATTACTCCTGAGGATATAACCAGACAGGTTTGGACCGAATGTATCGTTTTTTATCTTTCTAAAACCCAAAATTTTCCTTCAGTTTTTTTTGTACCTAGCCTTTACAGTTTGAGAGGAGGTTACACACTTGACCTTTAACCTGACCTCATTTCCCATGTTATGACTTACGGATCTTTAATGGAAAGACCTTTGATCATTACAGCTTTATGAGTTACGCGAACATACCGATAAAAGAATAATTGATGGGTTGATAACTCTTGTAAAATGTCATCAGATTATTCAAACATTTACCAAAACAGACCAAAGCTTAATGAGGATAGAACGCACATCAAGAAAAAAACTTTCGTCGTTATTTTTTTCTATTACCAAGGATATGCACATACAAGATCCTGCTCCACATGTGTCACCCGTCGTGTTGCTCATGTTATTACAAACCAGGTTAATAGTCTAATTCGGTAGGTCACATTCGCGAAAAGGGAAGGGGATTGTAGTTATGACACAAGGAATGTCTTTCCACTTTAAATTTCTAAATAATTGATGAGATGCTACTTATGGTTAACATAAAGTTGCTCTTGGCGTTTAAACATAGATTAACTCATACTGATTAAAAAATATGTGGTTTCAATAAAAAAGGGGCCAAAGATACCAGAGGTACAGTAAAACTCATAGATCGAAAATAATCTGACAACGCCATGGCTAACAAAGAAAAAGACTAACAAACAAATAATAGTACACAAGACACAGCATAGAAAACTAAAGACATAGCAACACGAACCCCATTAAAAACTTGGGGTGATCTCAGGTACTCCGGAAGGGTAAGCTGATCCTGCTCCACATGTCGCACCCGTCGTGTTGCTCATGTTATTACAAACTAGGTAAATAGTCTAATTCGGTATGGTCATATTCGTGAAAAGGGAAGGGGATTGTAGTTACGACATAAGGAACATTATCTTTGAAACGGTCATTCCATAACGGACAACCAACTCGTAATGGCGGAAAAAATTTACGCAGGGATGATTTCAACTTAACCATTTTGAACTCTTTGTTTGATAAATATTAAATATCGTCTGAAAAAAGGGAAATAATTTGCATTTTCCGGTTTAGAAAATATTACTTTCGACCTAATATGATAACTTGCTACGCCCTGATTCCAAAAATATATGGTCTGTATGTACTTTCATTTTGAATAAGGTAGGTAATCAGATAAACCCGGTTTAACTTTCATTGTGTTCTGATTGGTTTTATATTGTATGACTCTTGACGTGGCTAAATAATTCTTAAGTTATACAAAAAGTGATCATTGAGCCTAAGGCACTATACACTATGAGAAGTTCGTACGAGAATGATAAAGGTACTCAGTTATTTCAGTACTAAGATGTGCCTGTTTTCTTGGTTATTCATGTAATCAATATACTGGATAATGTCACCACAAAATGTACATATTAGTAAATAATGATGTCAATGTATATGTTTATAATTTTAACATAAAAAATCGATTGTAAGGTTAAAGTTTTTGTTATGCGATATTCGATCCTTAATCCGGTAAACTGTTGACAACATTTATATTTTTTTTCTAAAATAGTGCGCTGAAGAGATAAGTTAGCGTTATGCATATAATATGACTACAACTTTTGATATACACATTTCGAGCAATATGTTTGTGCACTAAATCTATTTCTGTTGGTTTACTTTCAAATATTTAAGAATTAACGCAATATAAAAATGCCAGGTAATTTTTATTGAGAATATGTATTTAAATCTTACAAAAAAGAAAATGATACCTTTTAATTTTAGAATGACATACCCGTTGAACAGAATAAAGATAATAACAATAACAAGACTGGTTCAGAGAAAAACGAAGAGATACCAAAACCAGGATTATGCTCGACTGAAAACCTGAAACTTATTGGAAGGCATTTACTGAAATATAAGATCTTATATGGACCTCTTCTGACAATAGGGCTTTTATTATGTGGGTGTGACATAAAAGATATAATTGAAGTCATTCGCTTATTCGACCCACGTGTCAGCAACAAAATATATGAAATTTTAGCCTTAATAATAAATAAAACGGATGATACAACGCAAAGTAACACTGCTTGATATAAACTTAGGTTATAGCTTAATCGTTGCCTTATCAACAGTTGAATTTAGGTTAATGTAGTATAAGACGTTTTGAGAAATTAAATATTTTCTTTAAATATTGCAATGTTTTTATTTTCTGTTTTCTGTTATTGTTTCTTAATTAGAAACAATTGAATATTGTTCTTATAATAGTTTTAACAAGATGAATATTTGATGTTTTCGACAGAAAAAAAAATCATATAAGAAGTGTATCCTTAAAAAATATAGGTCAAGGTATTTCCAAACAATTACAAAAGCAAAGAAAAGAAGAACGAAAGATACCAGGGGAACAGTCAAACTCAAATCGAAAATTAACTGACAACGCCATGGTTAAATATGAAAAAGACAAACAGACAAATAATAGTACACAAGAAACAACATAGAAAACTAAAGATTGAGCAACACGAACCCCACCAAAAACTTGGGGTAATCTCAGGTGCTCCGGAAGGGTAAGCAGATCCTGCTCCACATGTGGCACCCGTCGTGTTGCTCATGTTATTACAAACCCGGTAAATAGTCTAATTCGGTAGGTCACATTCATGAAAAAGGGAAGGGTATTGTAGCTACGACGTAAGAAACATATCCGATATCATCTGTGAAACGGTTATCCCATAACGGTCAACCAACTCGTGATGGCTTCCGTAAAATTTACGAAGGGATGATTTCAACTTCACCATTTGGAACTCTTGGTTTAATACCTTCCTTGTGAGCAGCAACCCTCTATCAAGAAAATCATGATAGGAAATACATGTGCGGGAATATCGTATCAATAGGGAGATATATACTCCGTATGCAGGCTCTGCTGGAATGTTGCTACATAGAAATGGAATGTTCACAATTGGGAAGCTGAAATCATCTCGTTTGTCGTAAAGTTTTGTTTTCAACCGACCCTCAATGTCAATTTCTAGATGAAAGTCAAGATATGAGGCAGACTTAACTGTATCTGTTGTATCCTTTATCTCTAGTTCGATGGGATAGATGCGTTCAACATAGTCACCAAATTTTGAATTATTTAGTGAGAGAACATCATCTATATAGCGGAAAGTAAAGTTAAAGGATATTGCTAACTTCTTATTTTTCATCCTAAGAAGTTCCTGTATGAAGCCAGCCTCATAATAATAAAGAAACAAGTCGGCAAGAAGAGGGGCACAATTGGTTCCCATTGGTATGTCTACAGTCTGTTGAAAAACACGTCCTCCAAACGTAACAAATATGTTGTCAATCAAAAAATCAAGTATCTTAATAATGTCAGTTTCAGAGAACTTTTTGTTTGAATCAGTGTGATCCTTTACAAAGTAGGATTTATCCCTCCCTCAGACAAGATACTAGTATCAACGTTGGCCATTCTTTTTTATGAAACAAAGCAATAACAACTCTTTCAATTTGTCTTTAAGTTTGGAATGGGGAATACTTGTGTAAAGAGTAGAAAAGTCAAATGTTTTAATACTGTTGCAAGATGAAAGAGTCTTAGATTGTATGTACTCTAAAAGTTCTTTGGAATTTTTTTTAGTATCCTGTCATGTGATGTTGTCGTTTTGGTGTAGTGTTTGACGTTGCCATAAAAGCGGGAGGTTTGGCATGCCACAAAACCAGGTTCAACCCACCATTTTTTTCTTAAAATGTCCTGTACCAAGTCAGGAAAATGGCCATTTTTATATTATAGTTCGTTTCTGTGTGTGTTACATTTTAATGTTGTGTTTTTGTTGTGTCGTTGTTCTCCTCTTATATTTGATGCGTTTACCTCAGTTTTAGTTTGTAACCCGGATTTGTTTTTATCTCTATCGAGTTTCGAACAGCGGTATACTACTGTTGCCTTTATTTAGTATCCACATCTGATTCACGCCACCTCTAGAAATGGCAGTTTCACAATAACTTTGAAGCACGGCTTTGATTGCTGATAAAACAGATGTTAATAATTTAGAAAGAGGTTTCTTGTAGCACTTGGAAGACCCAGCAATATATCGTTGTTTGTAGTTTAGGTATTCAATACAGTGATGGAAGATCCAGTTCTTCATCTTTGGTTGAAATTCCAAAGGAACATAGGTTAACATGGGGAAATATCATAGGGACAATACAACCAATAAGTCAAACAGTGAGAACTGCTGTTCAGAAGTCATAAATCGATTGACAAAAAACAAGTCCGGGTTACAAACTAAAACCGAGAGAAAACATCAATTATAAGAGGAAAACAACAAAACGACAGAAACACTGAAGTGCAACAAAAAACAAACGCCAATGCAACACACACAGAAAAGAACTATAAAATAACAACTCCCATTAGCCTGATTTGGTACAGGATATTTTAAGAAAAAATGGTTGGTTGAACCTGGTTTTGTGGCTAGCCAAATCTCTCGCTTTTATGGCAATGTTTAATACATTACAATACAATACAATATTTTTATAGAAAAAAATAAACACAAAAGAAAAAGCACTAAAATGACAACATCACTGTCCGTCAAACGACTGTATCAACGCCACAAAAGTGACGTCACAGGTAAATTAAAAAAAATTGGATATAAATAAAGATTAGGTTTGTAATAATGTTATTTGATGCATTTTATAACACTACAAGAATATTAATATAGAATTGTGTTAGTAATAAGATAATTTATTGTATCATCCAGCCATGTTAGTATCTCTTCTTAATCAAACTGTAAAACAAATAAATCGTGTACATGTACATACAGTTGCTTTAAACCAAAATCATACAAATGAATCGAGTGATTAATTATCTTTACTTTCACATACGAATAGAAAATAAAAAAGTAGAATTACAACTACAAACGATAAGATGTGTAACAATATCCGATCAGAACTACAAATACAACATCATAACTAAATACACGAATGATGGATAAACAAATACCGTGACACGTCTTATAGCAATGCGAATTCACACTCAACAAAACAGTCATATTCGGGAATAGGTCATGTCCGGTACTTAAAAGACAAGACGACGTAAATGGTAAACTACAATCTAAGACAAGGTAAAAATGTCTTTAGTTAGTTCGACACAGACATATCGTATGGATCAACCAATTCGTGATGGTGTTCATAAAATTTATGAAGTGTCATTTTTAATCTTTCCTCCTCATAACTTTGTTGGAGCAGTTTCTGCGTAAGGTGCATACTCCTGTATATGAAGTCCGTATAGTGTGAACATGCACGAGCATAACGTATCAACTGATATATGTAAACACCATACGATGGGGCAGAGTGTATGTTGACTGCTGTACCCCTATTATTGACATTTTTATCAATTGAGTCCGTTGGTTTTGTTCACACATCGTTGTCAATATAATGGAATTTGATGCGACTGTCATACAAGTGAGATGTTTAGCTAGCTATAAAACCAGGTTTAGTCCACCATTTTCTACATTAGAAAATGCCTGTACCAAGACAGAAATATGACAGTTGTTATCCATTCGTTTGATGTGTTTGTGCTTTTGATTTTGCCATTTGATTAGGGACTTAAAGTTTTAAATTTTCCTCGGAGTTCAGTATTTTTGTGATTTTACTTTTTACTGCTGAGAAATGGGAAATTGATAATGGGGAAGTTGAAATCGTCCAGTTTGTCATAGATTTTAGTGTGAAGTCGATCATCTGTGTCAATATTGAGGAAAAGATCAAAGTATGAAGCAGTCCTTCTAGTATCAGTAGTATTTTCAGTTATTCAGTGATAGGACATCACCAATATATCTGAAAGTAAAATTAATGAATTTCGCAAGGTGCTTTTTCTTTTTGTCTTTTAGAAGGTTCTGAATGAATTCTGCTTCATAAAAGTACAAAAACAAATTTGCAAGTAGGTGTGCACAATAAGTACTCATTGGAATACATTGTACCGAATGTCTGTTGAAATATCAATCCTCCAAACTCAACAAATATATTGTCGATCAAAAAGTCCAGCATTTTGATTGTATCATCGTCAATATATTTTCTTGTAGATTCAGTCTGGTTCTTCACAACATAAGAATTATGATATTCCAGAAACAAGAAATTTGTAACTACGATTCTCATTTTTATAGAAAAAGCTCTGGTTAATGAGATGGTGAAGTCGATCTTTCAATTGAGCATTTGGAAAAGTAGTGTAAAGCGTAGCGAAATCAAAAGTCTTAATGTTGCAGCAAAATTGCAGAGATTGTGATCTAAGATTTAGCAGTAGATCTTTAGAATTTTAGAATATAACATAGGTCCCTTTATTTGTCATAATTTCAAGTTTTAAGTCGTCCGTCAATCTGTGTCAACATCCAGAAAATGTTCTAAATATGAAGAAGAACTTCTTATAACAGCTCTATTCTCAATACAAAGTTTAGTTTATAAGAAATGCAATACAAGCGAGCACTTGAGTGATAGGAGATCATCAATATATCTGAAAGTCAAAATAAATAAATTAGAACAAAAAATATAAAAAATTTAACACTTTCGTTTCTTCTTATTTATTGGAAAATACCAGTTATAGAAAACCATGTATTTGAGAATGATAATTTAAAATTAACTTTCTCGATTAGGTTCTTGTTACCAACATTTCATAACCTGAAAATTCAGCTTCAGCATCTAGCGTTTTTGACGGCATTGCAATAAAAAATGAACAATTGGGGCTACTAAAAGCGTTACCAGGTTCAAGACATACCAGTACTTTGAGGCTCTGCTTTTCGCGTTGTGTAAATGATGGGCTGTAGGAGTCTATTTTTCTGTGTTTTACATTTTTGTAATATGGTTTAGTATTTTTGTGATTTTGCTTTTAGATAGGCAAATGGGATTTGTTTAAATCCGACCAATTTACGAATTGTTCGAAGTGAAGGTACATATATCTGGATCTTGCATTATTTGTTGTTGTTTGTTTTGTCGTTTTTAACTATTTCATTAGATGGTACTAGCTGTAGATTGTTTGTGGTTTTAATTCTATTTTTATTTTCTATATGTATGTAAAAGTACAGGTACTGAACCACATAGTTCATTTGTGTGTTGGTTTTTTTTAAGCAACTATATACACATGATTTACTTGTTTTTAAACCGTTAGATTCAGAAGAAAACCCAACATGGTTATACAATACAACAATTACACCATTACTAGCATAATTCTAT